AAATGAACTAATATTTTTTCGAATTGTACTACGCAATTTTCTTTTTGATAAAAACTACGCTATACATATGTGACACACTTCTCATCTGCCCGTGATCACGGTTGTTGTTAAGTGGCCGAAACGTCGGGAGTATGTAATTTTTACAAACCGAAAAAATATGTTTCATCCTAATGACTTCCCAAAAAATGTATATTTGCATTTTTTATACTCTAGCTAGATCATTAACAAATACGTGAATAAAAAATAAAAATATTCACTTATAAAAATAAGGATGAAACGGTAAAGCCTGATTTAAACGATGGATAAAATATTTGCATCAACAATGCTACTCGAGTGTTATTTCATATATTGCATGGGAAACTTAATTTTATAATTCAATTTCAATCTTTATATGCATTGATAAATTTATTGTTTTTCGTATATACGTATCGTAATTTAATAACATTTTACTGCTTTATTGAAAACAAAATATAATAATATTCTGTTTTCATTGAATGTCGCATACACATAAGAATCAATTTTAAAGACTGAACTGATTTATAGTTTAATTTGAATGTTTATTAATGTAGAAGGTGTTTTTAATTCCTGTTTTTTGTAGATTTTATAGTAAAATCAAACAGGATGCCGGTAATGTGTAATAATGAGCTACACTATAACTAGGATAATGGCCAGCTAATTCAGTCAACTATAGTTAGGAAGAAACTATAAAAAAAACTGTGATTCGTTTTATTAATACATTCCTGCATTTATAATATCAGCGGTATATCTTGATATTATCGTATTTATAACTGACAATAGAATAAATTATCTGCCAAGCATCATGCCATTAAATATTCGCCTATACACAAAACATTGTCAAAACGAACCAATAAATACATATCGTTTCCATAAAAACTTGATATAAACCAATCATACATTCGGAATACCAAACGATAACGTTACTATTTTATTATAGTGGCAACAGGGATAGGATTATATGATAAAAAAAAGTACTTTTTCAGATGATTTAATAATAGAAACTTTATACTTTTCACATCATACTTTTACTCTTTATAATAATTATAAGAGTAAACCACGTTTATCCAATATGATAACGAGAGCCTTTTAATTTGCTATTACGCGCTCACCGTTAGAAGGCTAAAATTACTCCATACAGAGGTTCATAGACATTTGATCAGATATACATAGGTATTATGTTATAAAACACAGCTATTTTGTCATTATGACTTTTTATTTATTAAAAAACAGTCCATCAAAACTAGATGCAATGTAATATGTAAATATTAAAAAAGTAAAATACTCTAAGAATACATAAGTGTAAAGCTTAATAAGAAAGAACTGTTAGGGAAAGCTTATAAATCATGCTACGTCATCCTCAATCATGTAATGAAAAAAATAAATACAAAAGAATTATCCGATAGGACTTCTTTATAATAAGTATTTTATATACATGTATGATAAGAATAAAGTTTAGTGCGCGATTATTAAACTGCATAAAAATATTTTAATTATATTAATAGTTTTAACACATCAAAAAGATAAATTAATCAATTGCTACATTGCCTATTTACATGTTTTACAAATTTAAATTAAGAATTTGTTAAATAATAAACAAATTCAAACATCATGTAGCATGAAGAGTGATAGACAAAAGGGTCTTTTCTCCCATAAAGGGATATCTGAAATTATAGGATTAAATGTTAGCACCTTACTAATTCTAAACTGTCGTCATCACAAATTACGATCTCGTCGCCCCGGCAACCGATAGGGATCTTTTTTATTCCTTGCAAGAGGGAAACTGTGTTGCAATCGAACCTCGGGTTGATTACTAAGTGCCCTAGAGGCCAGATTTCATGGAACCAATTGCCATTCACGCGTAAACGAAAGTGATCGCTGGGGTGATGTTATTTAAATGTTATCTTTTTTCGATACCCCACTTTTCGTTAATATACCACCTACTTTATGATATTAAAAACAAGATTACTTTTTGTTAAGATTCATTTAGCTGCTATATATTGAATGAGGATAAAGGAAACTTTTTAAATAACAAGATGTTTGTGTTTCAAGAAAATTAATAAATTGAAAAGTTATTTTATGCCTTTACATTGATTTCATCATTTAAAAAAACGGAATGTAGCAAATTCCTTTAACATATTTATTCTACAAATTGGATAACTTACTTAACTAACACGCAACTCATAAATGTCTTAAAAATGTATTGCTGTTTTCCCAACAATACCTAAAAGTTTTATCGTATAATTTATGCGATGTTTTAAATATCTGCGCTGCAAAGAATAGTCCCAAAAAGCATCTCCAAACTGGTGCATTAATTTGGCAAGGCATGGTGGTTAAATCTATCGTGTTAAAAAACTCAACTTGAAATTTCATTGGGTCAGTAGAACGTGGGGGAAAGGGGGGTTTTGTAGTAGGAAATATGCGAATGGTAGTATTAAATAATTGGTCGCGTGCCGACCCCGCGGCGCCGGTGTCAACGCCACTGCATGAGGCGCACTGCGGTACTACTTGAAAAGTTTAGCGTTTCACTTTATATCCAATATTACCCCAGCGAATGATGATATCTTAAAGGATATTAGAAATTCGTTGCAAATGACTTTAATACCTGTTAAAAAATAAGTAAAATACTAACGATGTAATTATTTAAAACAATCAGAATATCGTGTGTTTCTTTTATTGAGAACTACCAAGTTTAGATCACCGCCTTTCAAGTACATGGCAACTATTTATTTAATACAATTCAAAAAATATTCATAACCAAAGTTGTTCTTCCATCATCAAAAAGATTTTTATCCAAAAAAACGAGTTTTGAACGTAACGTGAAAGTTAAGCACATTATGGTAACTCAAATATTATTTGGTTTCCCGACTGTAATACTGAAAGAAAACAATTTTGTTTACAACGCGTGCATAACTTACAAAATAAGAAACAGACGCGGTAACTCGCTCCACACATATAAATTATCTAAGCGAATAACTGTTCTTTGTTTGAACTGAAATTTAAGTAATCGAAGTGGTTGTTGCGAAAATTTTCAAATAGAGCTTTTAGGCATCCTATTTTTAAATCTTGTGTTATGTTAATGAAACAGATTGATGACGTTTAATTAACATGGATTGGAAAGGTAAAAAACAATAATTTATTACGTAAAGATTTGGAAAAAAACATATTTTTACAAAAAAAATAAATGACAGCAAAAATTTTCATGGACTGAAAATATTTTAAAGGACCTCAAAGAAATAAATATTAGCAATAATGAGGTTTAAGGATGAAATCAAACAAAGAAAATTAAAATTTTCAAAGAACATAATTTTATAAGAAGACTTCGATTTGATTTACCAATTTTTTTTAAATCTGGCTTAAAATCATAAGAGGTTTGTAACTTTCAATGTAATCTTAACGCTATAACCCGAGTTAAACGGTTTCATCTCAGACAATTTCAGCTAAGGTGAGTGTTGAAAAAATGAGGGGCTATTTTGTCTGTGCCCGAAAATACGCAAATTTATACCTTCCACCGCCGTTTTAATGCGTCTTTTCGTTGTGCTCACATTAAACTATATTACCGAGATAATTTCTACAACATCAGTCAAAAGAGCAAATGATTTTATTTTTAACAAGGTTTCTATTTTTATACATCTCATTAAAGGTTAAGAAGTTGGAATTTTACAAGTTGCCTTACTGAAGAAATACATTAACTACTTAAAAGGCTACTTTCGGTGAGTAAGAGTTCGGGCCATTTTGTTTTTTATGAAATAAAGAGTCGATGGATATATTTGTGTAAATTTATTTTTTAAAGTAGACCTTTTATTAGAAAAAGTACAAAAATCATGTTAATATTAAAGTCTAAGCCGATAAAAGGCATTTGAAATATTTACTCAGTATATTATAAATTTAAAAATTCAGTTACACCCAAAACACATTTAGAAGCAAACGAGAAGGCGAACTTACGATTTAAGGGAAAGTTAAGAAGAGAAACTAACAACTTCTCCGAAGTCTACTAATGAGCTCGCGACATGTTCACAAAACTAAGAAAATAAATTACTGGGTATGTATTTACGTACCTCTATTATAATTAAGACGTTAAATATTAAAAACATGTAAAATAATAAGTAATGTAAAAAGCAAAGATGAATATCATACATATATACGAACTTATATAAAAAGGCGCACATCGCGACACAGCCAATAATATTTTACGCAAACCCATCAGGTACCAGTTTCTAATAAAGCCTACTCTCATTTCTGTTACAATGTTAATAAAAAGAAATGGAAAAGTTGTTCTTGTACGCGTCAAATGAAAAAGTTATAGGACGTGATGATACTGCAAAGACAGCAGAGCCACCTGCCGGTTGCGAACCGCTAACTAATTACGAACTCCGCAACTTCCTCAAACACTTAAATATTCTCCTAAAAATGTCACCTCCGAACCTACTGTCTTTGAATGCTAACAACAACTTATTTCATAATACAAGTCATAAATATAAGAAGCTCTTCGTCACTTCGGAGAGTCATTAATCCCATGTTCCTGAATGTAAACTACATCGCAAATGTCACATTGACGTCGTATATTAAAGCGTATATAATCAAATATTTTTCTTAAGGCAAACCACATAAAAAGTGTGGTAAGAGAATTATATGACACAAAGTTATTTTAAATATTAATAATGGTACGTCTCAAGTTCAATACTTAAAAAACACACTTGAATAAGTTACATTATTCACTCGTAGAGTGCCAAGTGATGAGGGCGGAGACGATTCCCAACGGTCGTGATCCTTGCGAGTATGAGTCGAGGACGCCCCCTAGAGAGCTATGACTCACAGACAAGATCTCATTACGTAGCGTTATCTGAAGCCGCTTTCTAAGAAACATCGCTGTGTTTAATTAAAAATGCTATCCACAAAGTATATTTATATTTTTGTTATTAACCTACGATTTCCCAGTCTGTTAGACATGAGTATGTCGGACGATATGAACCCTTCGACGGTTATTGGCCACTCGTATTCTGAATTGTCGGGTAAGAGCAATATCCTTGCTCAAAACGCTTTTTTTTTTATTATTTGACATTTCTGGCATTAGCAAATTATAAAGAAAAATTATATGTCCTTGTCATAAAAGAATAGTTTTACAATAAAAACCAAATCTTCAAATACTAAATGAAAAATAAAGATCTGAAATTATGTAATTCAAATAAATATATTTTCGGTTAAGTAAATTTATTTCGGCTCATGATCTCAAATCAAACCTCTGCTGTCTTTTAGGTACCGAACTCATTAATTTTGCATTAGCAATCAACTAAGTACAAGGATATAGTTGAGCATTCAGCAAGACATCGCTAATGTTTGTTGCCGGTCGAATAAACTAGGCTCATAAAACGATATTGCAGTTTGATAGGCCGCCGGGAGACCGAATGTGCGGACTGCCACTTAACTGCATTATTACTTATCTGTCGTCCTCCGACCTCCCTCCACCTACATCTCCCTCAGCCCTCCAGGACGGACGCTGGAGTACTGCGACCAAACGACGCAATTACTGCACTTCATATCTCAATCACTTAGTATATTGAATTGCAAACTTTGTCCTTCAATTTATTAATGATATTTATGTTAACAATATCATATACAATAGTAAGTAAATTGTGACTGTTTTCAATTATGACTCACCCTCTGAAATATCATTAAGATGTATCGGCACGTATTGGGGAGTTGATTTAATAATTAAATTCGCTATTATAATATCAATCGAGACGGATGGCTCTAGCTCGGCGCACGAGTGAGTTTGTGGGTGTCAGGTCCTTAAACATTTTATTACATTCTTTGCACGTAAAATATAATATCCCTACCCGCACTCGCTGTACGCGTAGCGAACAAATATCTAAATGTAATTTCCATGCGTTGTCCCCGCAATGTTTTTCAGAAAATATTAACATGGAAGCCAAGGGGCTGAATCTCTACTAAGTAAGTTGCAAAAAATGTACGTGATTTTACTTCAAAGTCCCTTTTGTCTTTATGAAAGGGAGGCATAAAAGTGCTGGTATGAGAATGGCACATACGAAAAAAAATTACACAACGTAATGATGATGTGAACGCAGTTTCCTTGAAAACAAAATATTTTCTTTGCAGTGTGTCTGAAATGTATTAAACGTGCTTCCAACAAGATTTACAGCTTTGTAATAATACACGGGGTTGTAGGAAATTGCTACCGCAACGTGTTCATTACCGAACTACTACTACTACTACTACTTATTTTTCTTCGTAAAGAAGTTTCGTATCGTATAAGCTCTTTTATGCTGTTTTCGGGAATAACTTTTAATGGAGGCACCGATTTAAAGTAGCTTCTTGAAACTTCTAGGTATTAGAGTAACGTAAGTCGAATTTTCCCGCTTTTACGACAATTACTTATATAAGACCTCTAGAGTTTTCCTTCACATATAAACTAAAACCAACAAATAAGCTACTACTTTTCATCACAAATAAAATGTACAAATATTTTGTTGTAATTAAGTTATTACTCAGACGGGACACAAATGTTAAGGTTACAGCGGGAGACCTCTCCGGTCGCAACACCCGCTGCTGGCCGGATATTGTCTAATCCACTTATTCTATTTGATACTAATGCTGTTCAATTTCATTTGTTCGGCTGGAAATTATTCTATTGTAATTGTGGATTATAATTTTTATATACTTGTATAAAACAAAGATATTTGATTTTCAGAATTGTCGATAATAAATTGGTCCAAATAGTAGAAGTTGTAAGGACGAAATTCATAAGACATGAAACTACAAAACTGCTAGATCACATAATGGTAGCGTTGCTAACAATGTGTGTGACGCGGGAAGACAGGGTCAGCGTATGACTCTAGTGCCTTGTACAAGTTTACGACCACGGCTCAGGCTTTACGACACCCGCTGCTGAGCCACGGGAATATACAACATAATAAAAATTGAATTTTTGCCCTCATATCACAAAAGATATGGAAAATATATTTTATTCTTTAATAAGAGTTTTCACGATGGACTTGTTGCTTATACCATTACCATATTTTAATATCAAAAATAAGCTTTTAACATATTAAATGATTATTATATGTCTTAATATGCAATTTTCAAACATCTAACATCAAATAATGAAGTCAAGATACATGTGTACACGTGTGTAAATCAAATACATTGTTGGTATTATTCTACGGTTATTATCTTACAAATAAAACCTAAAAGTAAATTATTATTGTTTCATTTGAAGTGTAATTATTTGTTTTGTAATTGAATAATTTAAATTACTTTTATCGTTACTGTACACTAAAAAAGGTTGAGTCCTCAACTAATTTGAAGCCATTTAAGACGCTTAACACAAACAAAATATACATGTTTTAATTTAGTCATGGCGAAATATTATTTTGTTTTAAGCCCCAAAAACACAGCTGCTCCTGCATTATTTTTTTTTTGCTAATAATAATTAAACTCAAAATATTCCTTAAACACTTTCAAACTACTACATTTTTTAAATTTCAAAGACTCTTTAATCCAGTACTCGGAGTCCACTCTCGCTATTATAAAAAACAACGAAGCAACTTCTTTTTATAAAATTCGTAAACAAGTTGGTTTATCCCTAGCACGACTTTTCTTAGCGATCTCAGAAGTACGTGTAACGAGAGTATGATTTATGACTTTTTTCTAATATTTTTGATGTAAAATATTATTCACTTTTATCATAATTGTATAAATATATTTTTACTTGAGCAATTTTGGAGAAAAAAAACGCGTTATATAAAGGGTCCTCGTGGAAAATTGGCGAGGTTTTATTCTCTCCTAACTAAGCTTCATTTAAAGAAGTAATTATAAGACTGGGCGAGTTAGAGTGATCGTACAATGAATTCATTAGTATGCGGGGCGCGTGATACCGCCATTGGTGATAACGCAAATTCGTTTTGCCGAACATCTTGCTAATAGAGTTTCACTAATTTATAAGGCAGTTAAGCCGCAGCTATACCGGCCCTGCGTAAAACTGTCCGCGGTAGACGTAAAAAGGATTTCATCGTAGACCCTCTTACATATTTGATGCGACTCAGTCTCGCTGCGAGATAGGTAGATCGCTTAATTATGTACCACTTGAGCGGAATATTCCGAATTGCTGTTTGTACCAATCCGACATTACTTTCTTAATCTTGTTTTACGATTCATAAAATGTGATGTTCAAAAATTACAATTCTAAAGTGGATTGTGGCCATCCCTAATTAAAACTGAAATATACTTGTAAGCCGAGTGCCGACTCCGCACCTGGGGAATTCTAAATTGATATAAGAAAAATGTGTAAATAAACGAGCCAGACCAAAGCCATCTTAGATTACATTCACAACGGCTGGAACTGTAATAGTATACAAAATAAAATCGTGTCTGCCCTGTGATGTGGAAACTAATTATTACGAAGTGCCGTAATAATATACTGAGGGCTAACAAAACGCAATTGAATGTACGCATTGTGCTTCATTCTGCAAATGTGATTAACAAAAAAATACTGGTAAACTGAGAGATAAAATCGTATTATGAAATGTGCATGGAAATAAAGCGATGAATTGAAAACATTAATAGCGTTTATTATTTTACTTTCATTAAGCTTTATTGTCACAAAAATTCATCATGACAATGTATATCTACATTATGAATCGAATACGGCATAAAGCAATCTTAAATATATACACTGAAAACGTAAATAAAACTGGTTTTTCAGACAGAAGCTGTGAATGTAAATAAAAATATTGATCCCTTTATATTGGTCGTGAACTAAATTAAACGAAGAAGTTAATAATAAAGAATACTTCATTATATCAATTCCTCAAAATTGAGGTCAAAAAGTCATATTAAAATAATTAGGCTTCAGTAAAGCGTAACGTGACGGTAAATATTCATAATTTATTTAGAAAACATGAGGGCGGAGGATCCCGCGCAGTTTAGTTAGCCCCAGTGTCATTATATCGTCTCAGGCACTTTATGTTAGCAAAATTTCATTTCAGAGGGCCTGTTCGCCCCCAAAACGGAGCTAATTCGTTTAAAAAAACATCCATTGTAAAATCCTCATTGAGAATATAAAAACATTGTTGCAAATGATGTAAACATTTTTTTATACATTTTATAAAATATTCGTCGTCGTAAATCCGAGTGCGTGCTCGTTTGTTAAGTAAATGGGTTAAAGAAATTAATTCAGTAGTTTGTTTTTATAAAATTGACGGTCTTCGGATACCGGCATCCGGGACTTCGTGTTCTAACTTGGATTTATATTGTACAGGAAGCGTCGTTAAAAGTGGTCCGGAAATCGCATCAAGGAGCTTTGCGGTTACTCTCTTTCCCAGACGCAAGATTATTTATGAAATGGGTTTTGTTCATAAATCATGCAATATATATATATAATTTTGACTTTAGAGCAATGATAACTTTTTTCGTGTTGAGGTTATTCTATTATAATTTAAAAAGTTGTCAAAGTTTAATGTTTAGACACAAAAATAACTCTCTCCTAAATAACTCCTTACGTTTTATCTTTTGTCTTCGTAAATTTGACCACATCTCTCACTGTCGAGCAGAGCTCAAATGGCTTCCCATCCGCCAACGCAGAGAATTACGTCTATTGTGTCTTCTTTTCTCCATTCTTTTTGATCCCCAATCTCCTCCTTACTTAAAAGAAAATTTTAAATTTCTCTGTGACAATCATGTTCGACAGCTACGCTCTAATGACTCTCTCCTCCTCTCTTTTCCCAGCCACCACTCTAGTTTCCTCTCTAACTCCTTCTATGTAAAATCTATCAGACTGTGGAATAAACTTCCACTAGAAATAAGAAAAGGCACCTACAAGGGCAATTTTCAGGCGTCGTGTACAGGAACATTTTGCTCAGAATCTGTATTAAGTCTCTGTTTTTATTATTGTTTTGGTATATAATATATATCTATTGGTATGTGTGTGTATGTATGTGTATATGTATGTATGTGTATGTATTTGTATATGTATGTGTATGTATATGTATATGTATGTGTATGTTATATGTATCTATATATATGTGTAAAATAGTATTATTTATATATCAATAGAAATTTATATGTATATTTTTCTTTTACATACTGCAACCGTCTTCATGTTTTTCTGCTTTTCCTAAGGTTTGACTGGCAGAGAATGCCTTCAGGCATTAAGTCCACCTATTGTATCTACGTGTGTAGTTAAACAATAAAGTTTTTAAATAAAAAAATAAAATAAAAATAAAACATAAAAAAAATTGTAATGAAGTAAATTTTACTTTCGTATTTAATTTCAGAAATTAGCCGCAATAAGCTTATACTTTCTTTTTTTGTAATTGTGTATATGTATCACTTTTCGAATGGGATAAATTTGAGTTCCTTTCTGTATTTTAAAATTAATTTAAATATTTAACAACAGCATATTCCTGAATAAATTCTTGAATTATATTAGCGAGTGCCAAACACAAAGCGCAAAGCAATATGCAGCATGAATTATTAAAAGACCAGCGCAGCTCATTCCGGATGAACACAAACTTAAAGAGGTCGCGTTGTGTTTTCCATCCAGTTGTTTTGTACCAATGTCCGGATTGTCATTACGAAGCGGTGGTGCGCCGCCTGCACGCAACGGTCCCTATTCAGCTCCAAAGCTGACCCAATACCTGCACCCTTTATCCCAATAGTTCGATTTACCTGTCTTTCTATCCTAATACAGAAGCCCGATCTAAATTCATATGCCCCGGAAAACATTTGTGTCCGGAACGCTCCGGTTTGCCTCCAAAATTCTACAGGAAGGCCGACCTCTGTTTGCACGAGACACAATTTGCGCATGTTTGCATTTTTATCTATTTGTTTTTCGTGGGGTGAATATGAATTCAGTCTTTGTCTGGGCGAAGAAAAGGCACATTATTGAAAATGACTTGCATTTCCGCCAATATTTCAAAACCGATTTTGTGATAAAATTCTATCTATGAATAAAAAGAATTGATTAAATAAATTAAAAAACACTTTGAAAGAATCGCTGAAGAATATTATCTTATGAATATGTTTTAAATATTATAAAATGCTTTAAAACTTAAACCCTCTCAGGATTTTTTTAGCTACAAGATATGTTTCTTGTTGCAAAAAGAAATGTGTCATTTATGTGCATGTTTTATAAAAAGATGTTGCTTCTTATAAGTATACCTCGGCATTACCACGAAAATTAAAATTAAAAAAAAAAAATAATACTTAAATAAAAAAAAAAAAAAATTATTGTAAGACACGATTTTAAAATGAATAACAAAAATTTGGATGACCTAGTTCGTATCTAATATATTGTATTGTTATGTGTCATAACTCATAAAGTAATAAATATTATTATATAATTGTACGATAACAATTCGTAGAAGGCAACATTATAATATGAAAGCGGTAATAAACGACTATCCCGTACTGAATATATGTATTATAATTTTTCGGAACACAAGCAGCCGTCACATCTTCCTTCATCTCGCAAGCAATCATAACATAATAAAACTTTACCACTTTGAAGCTAATCCATGTTGTCTAACACGTCAGGTAAGTTCAATGAGAAAAGCTAACTCTTAGCGTATTTCCAAATTTTAAGGGTCACGTATAAATATTAAAGAGGAGAAATGAAGTGGGCCAGAGATTCATGGCTCTTCCTTGTTTTTATTATTCGTAAGTAAGATAGCACGGCACGCTTGTTGTTCATAACATAAAACCGAGCTGCAGTAAAATTGCTCTTCAACCGCTCTGTGTAGCTCTCGTAATGTTTAGGATCTAACTAAGCACGTCTGCGAGCGAGCTTTATTTGACGACAACGGTATTATGAAAACACATGTATCACGTTATATGGTACTAAATAAACTTTATTATTATATGTATGTCATATAATTATAATAATCATCTATCATATGCCATTCATTACATTTTATTCTAACTAAAATAGGAAATCGAAAGATCCGTAGACGCAGCTACGACACTACGTACGTGATACAATTACTATTGTGACTTTTATCAAGCAAATTATTTGAACTTAAAAAAATATTATTAAATTTACTATAAAAAATCATATTTTTTTTGAGCTCATACTTTTTTCATTTATTATGTTTTCATCTTATATGTAAGTAATATTTATTAAGTAAAAATATCTAGAAAATATAAAAATAAATATTTGAAATCCTATAAATTAAAGTACTTACATTTATCATATGAATGTTCTCCATTAAAACCCTGTAACCGTCTATATAGAAATGTTTTAAACCTAATAAATGCTAAATGGAGTGCCAAGGAAAAAAAGGACATATTTCTTTGAAGTGCGATCATAAACAATATTTAAATCGTATATCCCGTTATTTTTTTATTCTCGCTACAAAATTGCTTTGATAAGTTAAGGGAAGAAGCCAAGAATGTAATTTAAGAATTTTATTCCTTTTAAATTTGCAGTTTCTAATATAAGTAAAATATTAAAATAAGAAATTGAATTTAAAAAAGGGTTCCGATAAATTTTAACAACATATTTTAACAAAAAAATGGATTTACAAATGTATAGAAAATACATATCTTTGGTCAATTCTTTTACTATAATCCTTTAAACATATTTGAAACAAAAACCTTTCAAACAAACGGACAAAGAAATATTTCAAACAATAATTTAGTACTTAAATTAGTAGTTCATGTATTTTAATATTGGAAATGATTAATAGGTTATATATACGTTACTGTGTTAAATAATAATGATTCGTGATGCTCTACAATTAAGATATTATTAATTGTGAGTGTCAAACGGAAAACAAGCACATTAAATGTTAGGAACTAAGTCAGTTTAATATAAATTCATTTAGATAGAACAACATAAGAGGTTCGTAGCTGTGGCAGTTCAAAATAAGTTATCTCAGCTTCTGCAATAAGTCCGGGCTTTACATGCCGTATAATGGTATAACACGACAAACAGCTTAAAACGTGTAAAATATGGAAAGTGTCGTCATCCGAAGGCGGCTGGTCTAGACTTTATTGTGGAGCCTGAGCTGTACCGGATGCTTGGACTCGACCGGTCCTCACTGCCCCACGGCCGCCTCTATGAATATTTATACGCTTACAATTTAAATTTTAGAAAACAATATTTAGTATGTATTAAATATTTGAATTTTGAATCTTAATTATACAAACTGGAAGCTCTGAAGCTACAAAATGTATTTGGGATTAACTATAATATATAATTTGATGTGACTTTTATAACGATACAAATTCCTATATCTGTTACGTAATTCGTACAAATGAAATGACTCACAGATTATATGTATTCAGAACATGATATGAGACATCTTAATATTTACGAGCGACTCATTATGTTCCACAATATTAACTTTCCTTGAAAATGCCGTTCAACTGCATATATTTAATATCTTAACATGAAAATATGTTTATTTGTGATAATTTATTTTCTTCGTTTGAATAACCCAATAAAATTAATGAAAAATATAGTGTTTTTGTTTGTTTTTTATTAGGTCTGACCCCCTCATATAAAATGTACCTATAAAATATGCAACAAAATCATATCTAACTCCACCAATAATAATTACTATATTAAAGAAGAAATATTTGTGAAAAAATATTTGTTCAAATAATTTTTATTACCCTAATCGAATAATTTTTTATCACCATGTCTACAAAGGTAACAAATTAATTTTAGAAAATCTGTTTCATACAAAAGTTAAGTTAAACTTAAGTTTAGGACGTTGAAGGTAAATTGCTTCTATATCTACATGCGAATTATACTTTATAATACGTATCCTTTAGCTTAAATTATATGTACATACATAGAATGTATGATTGTGTTCCGTTCCAGACTTGTTCCTTGCAAGCATATGTATACAGAATTGTCCTTTTCCAAGTCCACAAAATAGAATAGCAGGTTATGTATTTTACAGTTCTTGGCACGTTTGCTAAGAAATAAGAAAATGTTCACGCAATGTGCGTCTTAGTGCGATTTACGCCGGGCACACTGAATGGGATTTAGATAAAATAAGACATAACAGGGTCCGCGGCGGCCACGTCCATACTGTGTAATTTACATCTTTTGTTACATTCCTATTATTGCCTGTATAACTTATTGTGTTCAAAGCTATTTATGTTGTCACATAATATGTAGAGGTCATCTCCTCGTGGAAATAAAATTATAATAGAAATTCAACAAAAGAAATACTCTAATTTTATTTTCTTCTTTAAAAACGGAGGAAGAAGAATGTAATAAACGCAAAACATATTCATTGTCCTTCTTCGCGTTATATGAGTATAATATAATGTAATTAGAAATAATAAGCAAATTATAGCACGAAACCAATAATAATGAAATAAGAAAAAAAGTTCTAAACTGGCAAAATTGCAATATATTTAATAAAACGTAAAAACAATGTTAACGTTTAATGGTTTACGTTTAGCATGTTTTCAATAAAATTACTTTTTGTTTTGCGCTATTGGTAAAAAAAAAAAAACTATTTAACGCAATTTTTTGTGCCGCAATATTGCGGACTCAAATTTACATAAAATGCTAAGTAGAAATAACTGAAGGATTGCGCACGACTATCTATGAAAGTGAATGCACTCACGTTCTCAGACTCTTAAGGGCGGAGAGCATATTGCTTTATTAAGAATAATTGAATTATTCAAGATCATTCGTTTATTCGTTTATTCTTCCCCATATAGTGTAAAATATTAATGTAGCGAATGATAGGAATATTATTTAATCTTGGCGAACGAGATTCGAACTTTGAAAATTTACATTTACGCCTCATGAAAAGTTATTATTTTGGAGCTAATGTTTTTATAAATACCAAAGGTCAAGTTACATTTTAGATATGAAGACATTAGATAAATATTATATAGATTTTCGTGCCATATAGAGTAAAAAATTGTTTAGTATCAATGGGCTGAAGCAATTGATTAAATTTAAGTGCTTCAACAGTCACTTTTTAGTTTTACTCTTCATTTACTTCCAATCTTAATAAGATGTACTTTATGACACCAACACTAATCCACCAAATACACACTAATGTTCTTTATCTAAGTCAGAATTCATTTGGGACCGTATTAGTCCAGTTTTGTTTGATTAAAAACCGCTGTCGTTAGTGTCAGTTGTCATACAGCAGAAGCTTAGAGTAACACTGAAACTCGTATCTTTGGTGTCCTTCCCTCAATCCAGGGACATAGCTTAAACATTTTTACTTTTCCAGTCTATTTTAAATAAATAAATTGATTTTGCCTTTTGTACTAATACCTTTAATGGATTATAGTAAAACTGTGTTTTTTCCTGTTTTTTTTTTTTCCATTCTTTACAATAGATTTTCCATAATTATCAATTAAAACTTCCAGCTTATGTATTAAAATTTTTGATCATGTGATTAAATGCATTTAAATTTTATAACAAAAGTGAAGAAAAAAGAGAGTGGAAACTGAGAATTAAACAATTAATCTCATTAATTCGAAAACATATCCTAAACTTTCAGAAAAACATTTATAATTAAATTTATAATTTTAAGCATAAGGCGAAGTTATTTTAAAGATATAATATATGAAATTGAAACATAAAATGTGTTCAAATCGTACAGGTATATCTTCTTCTTCTACCTGGCAATTTCCCAGCTTTAGCCAGGGTCTGCCCTACATGTTGTGAATAGTTTTGGCTAATTGTTTTTAAGACTGACCGCCTTCATAACATCAACCCTCTTTGGGAATGCATTAATCAGTGATGTCTAAATACTCTTAGAAAGTACATCTGACTCGGAAAAATCACATTGGTACTTGCCAGGATCGAACCCGCGCCCTCA